TTTCCTGTGATTATGTTCTTGCTTGGGTATCCTGCACATAGTTGCATTTGCCACCCATCTAAACAACAAACTGTCATCTTTCTGGTCTCAGGTTCCTCATCCTCAGGGCTTAGGGGTAGATGCCTCATTCAGGAATAAAAAAGGTGAGGCTTTCCCACCTCTGTGTTTCCTCCTCAAAGTAATATCCCTCCTCCACACCACTCCGTGTCGAGTTCTCTTGGTGGCTTCATTTTGGCTGGCTCAACCTTGGTTACCTCTCCTATGGCCTGTATATTGTCATCACCTCTGCCCCTCCCTCTGTCTCCTTCATCAACCTCAAGTGGGCACTTTCTGTCCTGCCATCCCTTTCCTTTGCCTTCACATGTGGCTTTTGTCAGGTCCCTTGCTAGGAGACAGGGTCTGACATCATGTGCTGCTTCTCTCCTTTCCCTCTTGGTCCAACCTTTCACATTGTTGGTTTACCAATGACCTTGAACTACTTTTAGTGATTGGTTTCTCTGACAAGGTTTCTGTCCTTCCATTGCTCACCTTTCCCGCCTCTTCATCTGGCTGGTGGATCAGAGTCTTTCAGTTTTGAAAGTTTCTGGTTATAGAGCAGTTTTGTTGAACACATTTCATTTTAACAGATTCTGCTTGGTCTTATCCTTTCACTCCTATTCCAGTCCTTTCAGGTTCTTCACCTTTGCCATGCCTTTCCAGTGTCTGTTTGGGATCTCCATGTCCTCCTGATTTGCAGTCTTCATTGGTTTGACCTTTTTGCAATAGATGTTTTTTGTGCCCTTTGTCATAGTACATATATTGTGCTATACCCAAACTGTACCTTCCTTCTCAAGACCTCAGCTGCCTGTGAGGGCATTTCTGCCTTTGCATCCATCTATGGCCCTTCCATTTCTGAGATTTCTGTGCAAGCTCTGTAACACTATTGGTTTATATGGCTTCCATTCAGGTTTCCTCTTCCTGTTTATTTCTTCCCTGGGAACCTTCTTTGTGACGTGAACTCTCCCTCATCACCCTTATGAATTAGGTTCTTCAGCTTATTAGGTTGGCTTCCCCTTCCCTCTCCTCAGAAAGGCATCTTCTTTATTATGTCTTATCTCATCAGTTTCAACATATTACCTTATCTCTAGCAGTTCATTTTTGTTGTCTTCTAGAGGAGATCATCCAGGCTGGAGTGTGGACTACTCCCCATACCTTTGTCGTTCATTACCTACGTCATCTGGCTGTGTCCTTCTCTGGTAGATATTGCCTACTTCCTGTGGCAGTTCTATGCACACCAGTTCATTTCTCATTTGGGTATATTTTTATGTTATGTTTTTTTCAGAGACCTCCTTTTTTTTATATCTATTCAGATCCTGTTCAGTGGTGGGTGCTGCCATGTTGGGTATGCTTTCCTATAAACTCACATCAAATACCTTTAAGGGTAGAGTGCACACTGTTAAGATGGGGTGTTCCGCAAGATCGTTAGCAGTTTACCTAGTGGTGTATGTATTTGGGTGTGTATATATATTTCGCCATATGCAGAATTCTGATACATACTTGGTGGACCATCACTTGTGTAAAGCAGAAGGGGATTGCTGCCCATCTCTGCCTTTCCTTTTGAATGAATAAATCAGGAGTGGTTTGCATTTCAAAATAGGGTTTTGCAGTCATCCATTGCATTTTCTCTGGTGTGACATTCCTCTGGACTCTCCAATACCTTTTTACTCCTCCTTTTCTTGAGTAGAATTTGAAGGTCCTTTCCACTCTCTAGTTCCTAGCCATTGGAAGTATTGATCATGGAGGCTTCATTATGAATATAGAATGCACATCTTAGCATTACATATCACTACACTACATTGAGAAGAGGGCAAAATTTGGAACCCTCCGGTCTTCTACCATCTGGTGGTTTAATCCTGGGTGTGTTGATGTTGGTGGAAGCTGGACCAGCTAATGCTGGATCCTCTTTGTAATACTGAGTTCAGGTATATTACATCCTATTCCTAAGGTTGATATTGGTAGAAGCCCCCTTCTTGGTAATTTCTGTTGCAGTATATTTCATTTTCCTTCTCTTATGGTTGAGCTCAGGAGACTTTGTCCATCTCCTAGCACTGTGGTTGTGGGACATGCAATGCCTTGTTCCTATGGTTAAACACATCCTCCTCATAATGCTGGGTGCACAATGTTTCTTCCATGCTTTTATTGTTGAGTTGGAATCATTATTTCTGCTCATAATACCAGGTACAGGATGGCTCCTTGCTCTTATGGTTGAGTTGAGGCTTAGACACAGCCCTGTAAGTCTGGGTTCATTTTGTTGTACTTCCTGTTTCCTACGGTTGATTTGGAAGTTTGTATGGCAGATGCTGTTTGCTTACTTCCTCATCATAATTCTGGTTGCTTGCAGTATAACACTATGTTTACTTATGGGAGAACATTAGTGTATATATTATTAATGGTCTTCTTGCCCTGCCACTATACTGTATATCCTTCATTTGATCCTCTGAGAGGTCCTCCGCCTTGTAATACTGAGGATGGGACATGTAATCTCATCTGTATGGTTGTGGTTGAGTTGATACCTAGTAGTGTCTCTTCGAATGCCTCTATTTTCTTAATTCTGGGAACTAGCTGTTGGCTTTCCATTTTTTTCCATGTGGGTTTGAAGTTACTTTTTTCTCTGCCCATTTTTTCTTGTACTATTTGTGACTGTTCTCCCACTGGAGTCAGTTTGTTTCCAGTTGTGTTTGTACGGTTGAGGATGGAGTTGGACTTATGTTGATTATTTACACCAGATACATTGTTTTCTGAAGTCTTTCTTTTCTTGACACTTCATTGTTTTAGGGTGAAGAACATACCTGTTCCAGAAGTGGTGCAGTCTCCCACAAGTGTAATTCTGTTCCATTACAGAGCACACCTGTTTGATTCTCTACAGATGCTTTCCACAAGGGGTCTCTTGTTTTATCTTACACCAGTCGCCCTACACCTATTGAATGTGGGATTCTAGCTATTGTGTGAGTAGAGGTATGTATAGTATCAGAAGTTATCATTTTCTTACACTAAAAATAGATTTCCAATAGATACTTACCTCTTCTCCCCACTTCTGGTGTTTTTCTGTTTCTTGTGGGTTTAATCTTGAAAGTGATATTCACATCAACTAGTAAAACAAGGAGCCAGCTGCTCTAGGAGAGTGTATTGTGCTCCTTTTGGTAGAGAGTTGTAGCATGCTAAATGAGCAGCTTGAACTTATGGGGTATAAGGCTAGTGCATCTAGCAAGAAATTTTCTTTTCAGTGTGTTAGAAAGCAGTGGAAGATTGAGGAAAGCTATTGTGTGAGCAGAGGTATGTATGTATGCATGTATCAGAAATCTATTTTCAGTGTAAGAAAATGATAACTTACAACCTCTTTTGACTTATATTCAGTATTTCTGTTCATACAACTTAAAATACAGTTTGCTCTACCTACTTATGATTTAAGAGAATAGTCAACCAAAATACAAAGATCCTTTTTTTTACATAACACTATTAAAGTTATCCCCACCAAAATTATGTTTATAACCTAAATTATGATAATCCAAATGTCATCTGCCATTTATTCCCCAACCCACCAAGTAATGTCAGTACTTTTACAAAGCAGCAGTAGCATCATCTCACAGCCAGCTATCTTCAAGACCTTATCATCATCTGCAAATGTAAGCACTTTATTGACCATTCTTTCTAACTTATTAATATAAATCCAAAAGAGTAAAGTTTCTAACACTAAACCGTAAGATACCCCACTTGTGACATTAATCCAGTCTGATTGAACTCTTCTTATAAAAAAAATCACTGCTTCCTTTAATCCAGTCACTTTTTAATCCAGTAATCCAACTTAATTCTCCACACACCTTTTTTTAACAAGCCTCTTATGTAGCATCTTGCCAATTGTTTTCTGAAAATCCAGTTATACCAAATCCACACTTCTATCTTTATCTAGGTAAGCTGTAACCTCTTCAAAGAATGTTAAAAAAATAGTAAGTCCAGATTTTCCCCAAGCAAAACCATGTTGACTAATAGCTATCCAACAAAATAATAGTGGTAATTTTCTGGCATACTGGTAGAGTGAAAAGATTTTAAAAAAGTTTCGTAGTCTAACTGTTAGTCTAAGAAAATTGAAGCTTTCAAACCATACATCTGTTCAAGATATTTTTTGTGAATTGTGAAGCAAAATTCTTGTGTACATTTTATAATGCTTTTACTGATCTTTTATTCAAATCTCATGTTTAGCTCTTCCCCCCCCTTCCCCCTCCATAAATTAGGGAACATCATGGGGCTTTTTTAATGGCCCATCAAGGATATTCTTACTCCCGACCTCCCTCAAAAAGCAGAAAACTAATCACTAAACCCAGCCCCATTCTCTAAAATATTTATCAACTTTTTTCTAATAATTTTGTAAAATTGCATCCTTTACCACTCTAGGTGACTAGAGTGCCTGAATTGGACATGGGTCTGACCCTTCCAAGTCTTAAATTTATGACCTCTTGTCTTACTGCCCTCAGAATTAATTTCAACACACACACATAAAAAAACTATAATATATCAATCTTAAAATTTTTCAATGGTTCAATCCCATGCACATTTGGTTAATTGCTAGACTTAATCAATATACTGCATAAATGAAAGAGTAATGTGTGGATTTTGAATAGCTTTATATCATGTTTATATACCTATTCTAATAATATCCTGAACTATTTTATAAGCATACTTAACTTTTGTTTTAGAATAATATGTGTCCTTACTGTCATGAATTAGTATAGTGTATCAGGATGTTTAAGAAATCTGTCCTGATTGGGACTTGAACCTAGGACCCTTGATTAACACTAGTGTTTTAATCCAGTGGTCCACCAATTCAGTTTCATGGACTCAAGCAGATAACCCCCATCCTGTCTGTTACAAAGTATATAGTTGTTTCTTTTGCTCTAAAACTTTTTTTTTAGATAGTCTTTAATGTTGTAAAATGAATTTTCTGTTCTATTATGTTAATTTTGAACCTTTCAATAAATTATTTTCAGGAACTTATTTCCAGGGTCACACAGTTACAAGCTCATGTTCAGCAACTTAAAAATATTATTGCAAAGCAGAAAACACAAGAGTCCAAAACTGTGAATAATAAACCAGTAAAATCATTTGATTTCAAGAGGTTTGTAGCCTTTCCATACTTTCCACTTTAAGTAAATAATGTAATATATTAAATATATGTTAATACTTAAATGGTATATAATGTCATTTGTTACATATGTTCTCTGCTGTTTAGCATTTTTTCTTATACGTATTTATTTGTGAATTTGTTTTTCTGACCAAAATGTAAATTTCAGTTAAGAAAAGATAGCTTGAGGCCTAATCTGTTCTTTGATTTGGTACTTACTTTGTAGCAGACTAGTTTCATTGAATTGACATCTCATCATTTTATACTACTATTACAATTTTTTCCTATATATATTTCAAACATGCCGTTTGTTGCCATAAGTGGTCAATTCTAGTATAGAATAAAGGATTTCTTGAGCAGTGACAAGTTAGTTCTGAATAACAGGAGATTAATTAGGAGGAATATAAAACAAATTGATGTAAGAAGACACAACTTTAATCACTTTTGTTAGCAAAAAAAAAAAACTCACTATTTCACCAACTTAGAGGATCTTACACAACTGTATTACTTTGACACAGTTTTGAACTTTACTGATTTCAAGAATTACAAAGAAATATTACAATAAAACTCTTACTCACAAGAATCTCTAAGTTTGCAGCAAAAGATTTAAAGCTTTTAGTACACCTAAACCAATTCTCTTTTCAACAAAACAAATGTTCTTCTCCACATAATGACTTATTTCCTTCATGACTATTTTTACATCTCATTTTTTGTTTATGTCTCATTATTGTAATTCATCACATGAAAGAAAGTAAAGGGTAAGAATATTTTTACTGGGCTTACATTATTGAAGAGAAATAAAATATACATAAAATTACTGTAGTAATATCATATAACCAAACTACTTCTTATGATCAATATACTAATGTTGCATCTACCCATGACTTTCAGTGGAGAGTACAGATAATTTAAATGTGTCTAATATGCAATAAACATATGTATTACTTAAGATTTCACTTTTGAAACAGTCACTTGTTTAATGTGGAAATATGTAGCAAAATAATTCTAACATAATTCTATTCCATCAACTAAATATTAGTTCATCCTAAGTAATACTTTTAAATATGAAAATCAATATGTCTCAATGGTGTACCTCAAAATTTCGACTATGTACCCTTAACTTTGATAAAAGGAACCTGTAGAACCTTGGAACAACACTGAAGGTTTTGTCATCCTACTACAGGAATATATATCTACATATTGAAAGATTACAGAGACAGGTTACTAGAATGGTACCTAGTTTAAGATAATGAAAAGAGATGTGAGAAGTTGAGTTTGTTTTTTCTGAAGCATGTATGATTTAATTAAGATGTCTAAAGATTTGTCTGGGGAGATTTTTTTAGTAGTGAAATGAGAACTTAAATATTAAAAGTAAATAGCATAAGCTTTATAGTCCTTAAATCTAGTTGTGTTGTAAGTTGTGAAATGATATGCAAGCTAATGTGATGTGTACTTTTGCTATAAGCTTGCTTAGATTTTGTTTGATACATGTATAGATCCAAAAAGCTAGATTCAACTGGCATTGGTTGTTCAAACTCATGAACAGGTGACCTCAATGGTTCTAAGAGCTTTTCGATGCATGGTTCATGTGTTTTTATTGAAGTTCTTTATTGCACTATTGAATAGTACCAATTCCTTCAGATATTTACCTCGAATTTAGAGCCATTAATTGTAAAAACTTAATCTGTTTTTAAATTACAAAGAATAGTTCATCTTGCATGCTGTAATATTTTATTTGCAATTTAGAAATTTTATTATAAAAATATCAGAACTAAGAAAAGTATAGCAACATAATTGTAGAATAATTTAAAACTTATAGATTATGTAAGTCATGACTAATTTTGAAATGTTAATTTTGCCCTGTCAAGGTACAAAAAGAGACATGTTGCATTAAAGTTGTTATACTTAGGCTGGGACTACCAAGGTTTTGCTGCACAAGAAGACACAAATAGAACAGTTGAAACACAGCTTTTCAATGCTTTGATGAAAACAAGGCTTATAGAGTTACGAGAAACTTCAAATTATCATAGATGTGGCCGCACGGATAAGGGTGTTTCTGCATTTAGCCAGGTAGGCTACAAGTTTGAGGTATATGAATGTGTGGTATATCATTAAATTTTATGAAAAAATCTAATATCACCAAAATACTCTGGACTGAATAGAAACTGATGTAACATACCTAATTTTCAAAATGTTAAAAAATCTAAGTAAACATGGACCAAAATCAACATTTTTATTTGAATATATGCATCTCAGTATATATGTAATATGTGTGAAAGGTTTTCTAGCACATGCTGACTCTATATGTCTTTTAGGTGATCTCTCTCGATTTAAGATCCAATTGTCTTGAAGGTAAAGGCATTTTTGAACCAGATGGCTATGTTGAAGGACATAAAACAGGTGAATAATTAGCAAAACTGTAAAATTTATGTAAAAATATTGTTTTCTAGACAAATTGGAATATAAATTTGCATAGTAAGGAATGTAAGGAAAGACTTGAACTAACCATATGAATCCATATGTTTTTGATCTGTTACATATACATGACTAGGTGTTGAAAGACTTTGTAGCATGGGAGATGTACATGTAACTATAGTAGTTACTTAATTTATGTATATAATTTATAAAACAGCAACATTTTGATCAAAAGACCTGGTGTAGAACAGTCGTGCAAATTTTAATTTTCACTAGCTAATGCAATTTACTAGTTTCATACTTGCATTAATGCAAGAGAAATTGATATGTAAGTCAGTTATTTTTTGTTTTATTAGAAAATTCTATTTGAGCTACAACAGAGAGAGAAATTAGTAACAAATTCATTTTAATATCAATTTGCAATTAATTTTGCAACCAAGGTTAACAAGTATTAAACTGACATTAATAAAAATTGTGTAAATTAATATTTATTTAATTTTTTTCCCCTTACCTGGCTACTTTGTTGTTAGGACTAGTTGGGGTGAAATAAGTTGCTTGTGGGGGGTTCATCTCTCCCTGTTTTTCCTCGGGGATTTCAAGTAGCTCTGGCATGACACCATTTTTTTTGGAGGCCATCCTTATTCTTTGGAGTCCTGTATTGACATGGTCAGGTTGCATACTTCTGTATCATCCCTTGTTAATTGTTTCTCACAACCTCCTCCTCCACGGCTCCTGATCCTCTTCCCGTTTTCTGTCCTCCTACTTCCACGTTTTGTTCTTTACCCACATCTTGATGTTCTTTTCCATATACTAATTTTTCTTATGCCCATTGAGGTCCTATGAAGGCTTAGCTCCAGTTTGGCATCTTCTGACCACATCTAATTGCTCCTGGAGGAGGCTGCTTATATGGGTTGATTAATCACATTGGAGAAGTACATCCTTTCCCCTATATAGTGTCAATTTCCCTTGGTAGTTTTCTACACTTCCCACTTCATAGATGCCATGAGTGTAATAAATTCATTATACCCAGATTTTATACCAAATTAATAAAATTAGTAGAAACTAGAGGTCACCAAAGTTCAATGAAATATAAGTAAAAAAAAACTTGTTATTTATGTGTATAGAACTTCAGCAAGATATTCCAATTGGAACCTTGTTATAAAGTAAAGGAACTTACTGAAGTTCTAAGCAATTTTTTTGTGATGAAGGAGAAAAAAGATTCCTAATTGTATTACATTCCACTAGTGTTGGTAGGAAACCTTTCTTATATTTAATTTTGAATAAAAAATACTTGTTAGATATATAACTGGATGGAAGGGCTACATTTAGTTTTTTTTTAATGGTTTGGTTAAATGGGTGGTGACCCCAATGGATTCTTTCTGTTTCCAAAATCTTATTGCTATGTTTGTCTCTTGACAAGAAACAAATAGAAACCCATTTTGTACATTGTTATTACTAGAACATTCTTTAACATCAAGAGACCTTATTAAAGTGGGGCTCCTAGTGCATCCTATTAATCACCACAAAGTTGAGACTTTTGTTGTTTATTTAAAAGAGGAATTTCAGGTTAGCTTTCTCATTTATCCTGGCAGGAACATTTTGTGGAATTTTTTTCTCTACAGTACTGGTACTTCAAGCATTATGATAAACATAGCCAAAACTAATTGAGTAACATTTCAAGACATTATTATAAAGATTTTTTCTGATGAGATCAAATAATTTTATGTACTTCTGAAAAATTGCTGTTTGAATATACAGATAGTGCCAAATACAGCAGCTTGTTATAAGCTACAGAGGAATGTCATGTATAGTTTTATTTATTTATGTTTTGCACCAACCACTCACGATATGTTGGCACTTATTGAAATAACCAACAAAAGTCACAACAAGGCTTGTCATTGCAGTAAATTCATAAAGTTATCACACTGTGATGATTTGATAAAATGGCTTAATCTTCATTGTAATGATCCATTATGATGGTTTCTGCAAATGAATTACAAAGTAGTTGGGCTGAGAATATTAAACCTTATTGCATGTGTATTTGCAGTTATTTGAGGTACTTTCTATTGGATCAGCTGATAGAATGTGATATAACTACAGAATCAGTATTATGACACATGTATGTTTTAGAAATAATTCTAATCTACAAACTTACAATTTTTTTAGTTTCAACTAGCTCATTTATTACTGAGCTATGTTACCAAGTCACTACTTCATGTGATCCAAGTTACCGATACATTTATGTAGATTTTATACAGGGTAAATCTGGAATGAACTTCCACTGAAATAATTTATGTATCAAATATTAAAGATGTAGTTATAGGTATACCTTGTAATTTGATTTGCAGAACAGTTGGTCATAAGGTTTCCAGCTGATTTGAGAATCGTGTTTTCTTTTAATGTTACTATGTTATTTATCTTATTCTTTTCAGTATTTTTCTCTGCTCAGTTTTATTACTGGTTTTTTTTTTTTAGTGATTTCAAGAGAAATATATTATGCATGAAATTTTTAGAAAATTAATACATGTATAAGCAGAAAAAGTAGAATCCAAAAAAAAAAGAAAAGATAAAGCCAAAGTAAGTTTGAAGAAGAACAAATCGTGTGTGTTGTGTTCTAACAAATTACCAGATACATGTAATTTTGTTACTGAGGCCACAATTACTGCAGTTGTTTAGTGATTATTGATCTGTTAAGAACTGTCTTCTTAGTTAAAGCTATATTTTAAAAGTTTACTGATATACTTCTTTTACAGTCTACATTTTCAAAATTTGTTCCAAGTAAAAATCATGTGACATAATGCATATTAGTCCTTTCAGAACAACTTGGCAAGGTTAACAGTAGAATTATTTTCCCGGTTTATAAAAAGTTTTCTAAGAAACCAATGGTGATTTTCAAACATTCCTATTAACTGAATTTAAACTTTTTTTTTTCTTTTTCCATTAGACTTTGCATAAAAGAAAGAGGAAAGTAGTTGTAATATGAGTATTTTGGTATACATTTACATATGACTAGAAACGAACATTAGAAATACCAAGAAATATAACTTGTGTGTGCAAGTTTATGTGTTACTTGTTTTGTTCCTTTAAAAAAATAAATTGTAGTGATTAAAGGTAAACTATAAATTTTTTTTTAAACTAGTAGGATTCAGAAAATATCATGAAGATGACGTGCTGTACAGAAATTACTAAATAAAACTTTTCAAAGCAAAACAAAAAATTTTAAACATTTTTCTCATGAAGTGTTTAAAGAACAAGATCCTTCTGAAAAAATATTACATTTTGGAACGTAGTATAATTAACTGGCTCAAATCATTTTGTGTCTGCATTTCATCATGTTTTTTTAATGTGTGAAGATGAAAAATTTAGTTCTTTAGAAATTATAGAGAAGGAAAATTAAGTTTTTAACCAAATTGTTTTTATTCATATTTACTGATATAGTGAGAACAAATCTTAATGATAAAATGTAATAGTTATTTTCGTTGTTTAAAAAGGTTTTTGGTTCCGTTATTAAGATGGAAACAAAGTTAGTTGCTACAGACTCCTTAGATTCCTGTTCAAAAATTGATGAAAAACCACAGTTTTTATCAGCAAAACTTTCTCTGAAGAAGAAGAAACAAAAGTTTGATCATGATGATGACCTGGAAATTTTATCGAAAGAGGTAAGGTTTAGTATTGAAAATGAAGTCTAAAATTTTTGGATTGGCTATTTGCAATAATGCACTCCCTCTCACATTATTGGCAGATTATTTGTTTAATAAAAATAATAAATATTTTAAAATTTATATAAATTTATTTAAATGGAAATTATTAATTTCTCTATTTTCTTTGCTATTTAAAGATATCCACTCAGTTCTAAATTGTGCAATTCTTTTTGAAGTTTTTATGTTGTATTCCATTGAAAAATTCACTTGTAATAACATAAAACGTTTTACGAGAAAAAGGGGCCTGTTGGTACATTGAGACTGTTCCATACATCAAGGCCCGGCATGCCCAGGTGGTTAGTGTGCTCGATTCGCAATTTGTGGGTCGTGGGTTCAAATCGCCGTCACACCAAACATGCTTGCCCTTTCAGCTGTGGGAGCATTATAATGTGACGGTCAATCTCACTGTTCGTTGGTAAAAAAAGTATCCCAAGGGTTGGCAGTGGGTGGTGATGACTAGCTGCGTTCCTCTAGCCTTACACTGTTAAATTAGGGATGACTAGTGCAGATAGCCCTTGTATAGCCTTGCATGAAATCCATAACAATCCATACAATAAACTATGGTTTAAAAAATAAAAACAAAAACTCAACCAGCTCTTATCATTCAAATATTTATCAAGCTTTCCTTTAAATTCCCTTAAATTTTCTGCACACATTCCAAACACCAATCAATCTGTTAGAAAAGTAATACTAATAACTGAAAATATATATATATATGTATGTCAATTTTTTCTACCATTCTCACATTAAGTTTAAAAAAGATGATGCATTGTCACTATAATCCCCTTAACAATCTTCAATTCCCCTCTAACACTTCTTTTTTCAAGAGAAAATAATTTCAGAGATCTTTACCTGTCTATGTATGACAACCTTTCCACCTCAAGCATTATTATATAGCCCCCTTTGAACCCTATCTAACAATTCACTGTGCTTTTTTTAAAATAGAGATCAAGACTTGGTACAATATTCCAAATGAGGCCTAACCACTTGCCTATGAAATGAAATTCTGATACGATACATATTTTCTCTCTCACAATAGGTTTTGCTCAATTTTCCACTGCCCTCTAACGCATTGAAAAGACATTTTCTTGCTTGATGCACTACCCTGTATACCCCATAAGTTCAAGCTGTTCATTTAGCATGCATACAGCATGCAACAACCCTCCACCAATAGCAGCACAAAACATTCTTCTAGAGCAGCTAGCTCCTTGTCTTACTAGTTGAAGTGAATCTAACTTTTTGATTGGCACAATGCGAGCTAGACATCATGCTTCTCGCTTGCTTTCTAGTTTTCATTAATTTTATTTCTCTGATATTTTGGACTTTGTTCATATTTATTCTTTTTCTTTGTGCATATGTTTACTTTGCTCATTCTTACATGCTGGTGTGTTACTAACTTTAATTACAATTTTTACACTAATTATTGTGAATTATGAATTTTATTTTTATCATGATTATCATTATGGCTCTTGAAGCTACTGGGGACACACACACTTCTATTACTCAGGCTCAGGAATGATGTTGTCTGCCAAGGAGGTGCAATCTTTGGTTTGTCAGGAATTAGATTCTTACATGGACCTCCTCCTTTTGCCATATGGCCATATCCTGCAACTCATTACACATTTTGTTTTCTGTGAGGCCTTTCATTCCCTTTTGTATGAGATCCCTGACTCGGATGTTTTGGTGTTTTCTCCTTCTCCTGATATTGAGGTTCATACACAGTGGTTTTTATCACAGTTAAGTTCAGGGGTTCATATGCTTTGACCCCCTCGAGTTCTTGACCCTTTTGTTGTTCTCCCAACAATTTTTCGGAGGAACTCTGATTCCTTCTATTGTTGAATTTAGCAAAGCTCTCTACTTTGGTCCTTTCCCTACCTAGAAACAAAAGAGCGTGAGAATTGTCACATGATCTCGATGACGCAACAGTATTCTAATATCAATAAGACGAGTCGGTTTCAAATCTATGCAGTACCACAAAATATTACCTGTATTTTAATTTGTGAGTGTGTTATCAAAGTGATAGTCAGTAACTTAGCGTGGATGGCGGGCAGTAGGGTGCTCCTGTCTGGCCGGCTTTTCATCTGTTCAGTAGATAAAAATTAGGGATAGCGACAGATGGATAGCTTTAATGATTTTGCCATAAATACAAATAAGACAACATGACTAGACACCTTTTATAAAATGATAATAAATAGTTTTTAACCTTTCATTTCAGACACCTCAATTAAATCGTTGAAAATGTTACGATAATAAAATAAACGCTTGATGCATATACTGGTCTACTTTTGCTCAATTTACAAATGACCCCTTATGCAATTGAATTGGCAATAAGTGTTTATTAAACTTCATTTTACACTATGTTTTGAGCATGTTCCTTTTTTCGAGTTATTAAACTTGTATATATAACTAAAAGGTACGTAGTAATAATTATTATACTCAGCAATCTTATTTTATTGTGCATGTACCTTTTTCCTATTTTTTATTTCGCTGCAGTTTTTGAATTTCTTAACATTTGACTGCCGTATATTATAAAAACATTTATACTGAAGCTGTGTGTTTGAGTTTGACTAAGTAATTTGTAAGTGGCGCTGTCTCTCATTCGTAGATCAGATTTAACAACGATAGTGCAATGTTATGCAGGCTGTAGTATTTCACTCCGAGCTTAAAAAATGTTGAATATTTCTTATAAAAAACGAATTAAAAACCCTTAAGCCTAGGCCTAGTGAAAGCAGTATTACAACGGAAAACCTACCAGTACGATATGTACCTGTTTTAATTTGAGACGTACGTTGCAAATGTTAACTGAATACTTTAGCTTATCAAACCAGTTTTTCGTTTACTTTTCGATGATTCATTTTAAAATGCAATTACACGTAAATTTTGTGTTATATTACATTGGGGAAAAAAAAAGATAAATTATTGGCGAATTTTCTTTCCTCATTAACACAAGAAGTGAGAAGTGCTTATTTGAAATTTTATTCCTATTTATTTTTGTTTCAGTCCATACAAAGTGTCAACAAAGAATGGCCAATGTAAATGTGATTTACAAGTTTTTACAAGCAGTGAGGTTAATAGTAATATATTGTGATGAAACAGTTAAGCTACATTTGTATATGTACTTATGTATTACAGTTATACAAGTAATTGGAACATTATTTTTGGACAATTTTTTGATATGTGAATATTCATGTCACTTACTCATACTGTTTATAATAATAGTTTTAATATTTTGACGGTTAATTAGATGTTTATATCATGTAAATGTCAGAGACACTGGATGTGGTTTTTATGCTAAAGCCCATTGTAATTAAAAATATACAGTTCAACCAGGTTCCTAAGTGTGTGAGAGTGTATAAAATACCTCTCATAGTATTGGTGTATTGTGTACTTTAATATTTATTTAATCATTTCTACTAAATTTAGATGTCAGTATCATGTTCACACTATTTATTTTTGTTTTTACAATTGTAGTAAGTTTCACATTATATTCCATTTAAATATTTCATGTATAATGAATTTAATACTAATATTTTTATCATACAAAAAATTTGTTAACACACTGGAAATGGAATTGTCAGATGATAAATTTTAAGCTTTTACAAGCAGTGAGGTTAATAGTAATATATTGTGGTGTAACAGTTAAGCTACATTTGTATATGTACTTATGTATTACAGTTATACAAGTAATTGGAACATTATTTTTGGACAATTTTTTGATACGTGAATATTCATGTCACTTACTCATACTGTTTATAATAATAGTTTTAATATTTTGACGGTTAATTAGATGTTTATATCATGTTTTTTTGTTTTTTTTACTGTGAGATAATGCACTTGTTCATAAAATATTTATTTCATTTGCTGCAGTTACAGTAAGTTTCACATTGTATTCCTTTAAAACATTTTTTTGCATAATAGACTTAGTATCCTTTTACAGTTGTTTTACTGACACTGTGAGTCAGCAAACTGTCCAAAAAGTAAAGCCCAAGAAATCAGTCGGATCATGAGGTATAGATACATGCCAGAATATTAAAGGTAAAATTTTTTGGTTTGTATGTTCCCTAAATAGGCTTTGACATATTATTATGTGTATCATGTGTCAAATATAGTCATTAGTGTTTTATTTCTTATTGGTAAAGAGAAGTTAGCACAGTTAATTCTCCTATTGTGTTCACAGTTTAGGTAAATCTTCTATGTTTCAGCTCATATTGACATGGTGCAATTTCAAACAAATTGATACAGCCCTGAATTGATAAAATATTTTTTCTTTAGATAGCTTTCTCTTTTATGATAAGTAGTAGAAATTAATGTAAACTTTAATAAATTGAAAGACATATTTAATTACATCATAACCTTTGGGAAACCCAAAATTTAGTGCAAAGTTTGTGGTGTGTTTGATAAATGCAAAGAGTAGATTATGGAAAGAAGAGAGATGTATATGTTATTTCTAATGTTAGGGCTATTTGTACACATAATGGACTCTAAGCAGGGTTTGAGAAATTTTTGTGGGAAAAAGTTTAAGAATTGTCTAAACTAAGCTTAGATAGAGGTGGAAGAAACCCTTTGATTTTTAGGGATATGTGTTGACTTGAACTATCCCGTATCTTGGCGAATGGTCTAGTATTTGCTAGATAGGGTAGGCTGGTATATGAAAGAGGGGAATGTAATGTGTGTATAGACAGTGAGTAATTGAACTGCAGTCAGAGAGCACGAGAGACGTTACAGCGTTTGTTTAGCGCGATGGTTGAAGTTGAGTGTATCGGTAAAGTTATATTCGAAAAGAATAAACCAGTTTTATTAAGCAAATACTTATGTCGCTAAAGTTTCGTCGGAACGAAGTTACGGGAAGTTAATTAACAAACGGAGACGTAACAAATTGGTGTCAGAAGTGGGATAGAAAAAAAAAAAGAGAAG